ATAAAAACAAGAGGAGTTCAACATAAAAATCTAATAAAAATTAAAACCAACTCCTCAGTAGCACAAAATAAGAGAATGAAATGTGGGCTGTTAAATATCAGGTCTCTGTCCTCTAAAGCTGTTTTAGTGAATGAATTAATATCAGATTATGATATTGATTTACTTTGTCTTACTGAGACCTGGTTGTCCCACGAGGAGTATGTTAGCCTAAATGAATCCACCCCCCCAGTCATATTAATACTCACATTCCTCGAGGCACAGGCCGAGGAGGTGGAGTAGCAGCTATATATGATTCGAGCGTTTTAATGGACCCTAAACCTAAACTAAATTATAATTCATTTGAAAGCCTTGTTCTTAGTCTTTCTCACCCAAACTGGAAAACACTGCAGCCAGTTCTATTTGTTATAGTGTACCGCGCTCCTGGACCGTACTCTGATTTTATATCTGAATTTTCAGAGTTTCTATCAAGCTTAGTCCTTAAATCAGATAAAGTAATTATTGTAGGTGATTTTAACATTCATGTGGATGTTGACAATGACAGCCTTAGTAATGCATTTATATCATTAATAGACTCAATTGGCTTCTGTCAGAGTGTAAATAAACCAACTCATTGTTTTAATCACACTCTTGACCTTGTTTTATCCTATGGCATTGATATTGAACATTTAATAGTCTTCCCACATAATCCTTTCCTATCTGACCATTATTTAGTAACTTTTGAATTCATACTATTACATTATAAGCCATTAGGCAAAACTTCCTACAGCAGATGTCTATCTGACAGTGCTGTAGCTAAATTTAAGGAGGAGATTCCTTCAGTGTTTAATTCAATGCCATGTCTGAATTTAACAGAGTCCTATAACAACTTTAGTCCCTCTGAAATTGATAATCTTGTCGATAGTGCTACAGGCTCACTACGATCAACATTAGACTCTATCGCTCCTATAAAAAGGAAATTATTAAAACATAGGAGACTAGCACCTTGGTATAACCACCAAACCCGCCAGTTAAAGCAAATAGCTAGGAAATCTGAAAGGAAATGGCGCTCTTCCAAATTATCAGAATATCGCTCAAATTGGCAAGATGATCTTAAGATTTATAGAAAGGCCCTCCGTAATGCCAGAGGAGCCTATTACTCAGCACTAATAGAAGAAAATAAGAACAACCCTAGGTTCCTCTTCAGCACTGTAGCCAGGCTGACAGAGAGTCACAGCTCTATCGAGCCACATATCCCCATAAACTTAAGTAGCAATGACTTCATGAGCTTCTTCTATAATAAAATTATTACTATTAGAGAAAAAATTAATCACCAACTGCCATCAACAGTTATCAGTGGCTCTCCAAGTTCAGGGACTTCTGTCAATGTAAACTTAGATGTATATTTAGACTGTTTTTCTGCTATCGATCTTCATCAGTTAACTTCAATCATTTCTTCATCGAAGTCATCAACCTGTCTGTTAGACCCGATCCCAACTAGGCTGCTTAAAGAAGTTGTTCCCTTAATTGGCACTTCTTTACTGGATATGATTAATCTTTCTTTATTATCAGGATATGTACCACAGTCCTTTAAAGTAGCTGTAATTAAACCCCTTCTTAAAAAGTCCACTCTTGACCCAGGGGTTTTAGCCAACTATAGACCGATTTCTAACCTCCCGTTCCTCTCTAAGATTCTGGAGAAAGTAGTCGCCAAAGAGTTGTGTGACTTTCTACATAACAATAGTTTATTTGAGGATTTTCAGTCAGGATTTAGAGTTCATCATAGCACAGAGACAGCTCTGGTTAAAGTTAATAATGACCTTCTGACTGCTTCTGACAATGGACTTGTCTCTGTACTTGTATTATTAGATCTTAGTGCTGCATTTGACACCATTGACCATGATATTCTTTTACAGAGACTTGAGCATCAAATTGGCATTAAAGGAACTGCCCTAACCTGGTTTAAGTCATACTTATCAGATCGTTCTCAGTTTGTACATGTTAACGATGAATCCTCCATAAATACTAAAGTTAGTCATGGAGTTCCACAAGGTTCTGTACTTGGACCAATACTATTTACTTTATATATGCTCCCTTTAGGCAACATTATTAGGAATCACTCCATTAACTTTCATTGTTATGCAGATGATACGCAGTTATATCTATCAATCAAACCCAATGAAATTAATCAATTATCTAAATTACAAACATGTCTTAAGGACATAAAATCCTGGATGACCTGCAATTTTCTGATGTTAAACTCAGAAAAAAAACGAAATTCTTGTTCTTGGCCCCAAAAACCTTAGAGACTCATTGTCTAAAGATATAGTCACTCTAGATGGCATTAACTTGGCCTCTAGCACCACTGTCAGGAATCTTGGAGTTATCTTTGATCAGGATTTGTCATTTAACTCCCACATAAAGCAGACCTCTAGGACTGCCTTCTTTCATTTACGTAATATTAGAAAAATTAGACACATACTATCACAGACAGATGCAGAAAAACTAATCCATGCATTTGTTACTTCAAGGCTGGATTACTGCAACTCTTTATTATCAGGTTGCCCCAATAAGTCCATTAAAACGCTCCAATTAATTCAGAACGCTGCAGCACGAGTACTGACAGGAACTAGAAAAAGAGATCACATCTCTCCTGTACTAGCTACTCTGCATTGGCTCCCTATAAAATGTAGAATTGAATTTAAAATCCTCCTCCTCACCTATAAAGCTCTTCATGGTCAGGCCCCTTCATATCTTAAAGAGCTCATAGTACCCTATTACCCCACTAGAACACTACGTTCTCTGAATGCTGGGCTACTTGTGGTTCCTATAATCTCTAAAAGTAGAACAGGAGCCAGAGCCTTCAGTTACCAAGCTCCTCTCCTGTGGAACCAGCTTCCAGTTGTGGTTCGGGAGGCAGACACCCTCACCACATTCAAGAGTAGGCTTAAGACATTCCTCTTTGATAAAGCTTATAGTTAGGGCTGGATCAGGTGAGTCCTGAACCATCCCTTAGTTATGCTGCTATAGGCCTAGACTATCGGGGGATTTCCCATGGTGCACTGAGCTACTCTCTTTCTCTCTCTTTCTGCACTCATTCATGTCCCTTTAATGCATGTTACTAACTCCACTTCTTCCCCGGAGTTCTTGTGCTTTCTCGTCTCGCAGGTTCTCATGGATCCTGGTGGAGCCTCCTGCCATGGTCCTGCTTGACTGCCATTGCCAATACTGTTGTTGCTGTGCATCTGTCTGTCTGTCTCTCTCTCTCTCTCTCTCTCTCTCTCTCTCTCTCTCTCTCACCCCAACTGGTCGAGACAGACGACCACCCACCTAGAGCCGGAGGATCTGTCCTAGGTTTCTGCCTTTTAACAGGCAGTTTTTCCTTGCCCTTGTCGCCAAGTGCTTGCTCATGGTGGTACTGTTGGGTCTCTGTAATTAATGTTAAAGAGTTCGGTCTAGACCTGCTCTATTTGAAAAGTGTCCTGAGATAACTTCTGTTATGAATTGGCGCTATACAAATAAAATTGAATTGAATTGAATTGAACATCAGCTCCCTCACCAAGAAAGCCCAGCAGAGGATGTACTTCCTGTGGTAGCTGAAGAAGTTCAACCTGCCAAAGACAATGATGATGCACTTCTACAATGCCATCATCGAGTCCATCCTCACCTCATCCATCACCATATGGTACGCTGCTGACACAGCCAAGGACAAGGGCAGACTGCAGCATATCATTCGATCCGCTGAGAATGTGACCGGCTGCAATCTGCCATCCCTCCAGGACCTGTACGCCTCTAGGACCCTGAGGCGTGCAGGGAAGATTGTGGCTGACCCCTCCCATCCCGGTCACAAACTCTTTGAACCACTCCCCTCTGGCAGGAGGCTGCGGCCCATCAGGACCAAAACCTCTCGCCAACAGTTTCTTTCCATCTGCAGCTGGCCTCATTAACAAGGCCCGGAACCCCCACTGACACTGACTCTTATACCCACCCTGTATGTATGCATTACATTAATGCACTCCCGTCTTCAGTACAGTCTTCTTCTCTTTTCTTATCTTTCTTATCTTTATTTATTTATATTTTTAAAAAGTACTTTATTCTTGTGTGATTTTTGTGTGATTTGTATATTTTTGTGTGATTTATATATTTTTGTATGATTGTATATTTTAAGCACCATTGCACCAAGACAAATTCCTCGTATGTGTAAAAACCTACCTGGCAATGAATCTGATTCTGATTCGAATTCTGATTCTAATTTGGTGGAAAAACACTGTAACACCGGTCGGTTCTGCAGCCAAGATCAGTTTTATATCACAGTTCTCTAGTCAAGACTACAGTAATGACAACATGTAAAATACCACTATAGTTAAAACAAGCTCCCCACAGTTCAACAGATCTATTGACATGTAATGGTTGCCCTGTGAGAAATCCAAATACGAAACTGTTGAAACTGCAGATAACCGACCATAATTTCTGACTTTCCAGAAATCCAACTGATCTTTACAGCCCGATAATTCTGGCAAAACTTCAAACAACAACTGATCTAGCAAAAATGTTGCCTGATTCTAAAACCACTGGGTGACCAATCTGGGAATAAAATTGGGCTTAATGTTTACAGTGTCTGTGTTGTAACATGCTCACAACAATGTTAACATGTTGACGCTAAGCAGGTACAAGGTTTACCCTGTCTGTCATCTTAGTTTAGCTTGTTAGCATGATAATAAGCACTATTGCAAAATAAAAAATGACCTGATGACCAAAACCCCCTGAACTGATTCTTGGATACCAAGTACAACACACTGGTTTTGTCCTTTAAATTCAAGCACAGGAAGGCTGTTTTTTGGCTCCTTCCAAAAAAATCTCTTTTCAAATGATTAAACCTGATTTATCAAAAGAAATGCAAATAATCCAGTCACTGAATTTGGATGCAGTTACTAGTGAATCAAATATCTAAAGTATCTTTGAGAGCTGTTCCTAGTTTTCCAAGTAGTCAGCTGTTAATGGTAACACGCAAACAACTTCTTTACCTGTCTCTAATGTTGCAAGTGTCAAACTGAAGCTCATTATAATTTCCAAGCAATCCTTGCTGGATGTGATTGAGGTTGACTGGCTGGCTGTTGATGGCTATGAGGCGTATGCAGCCCTGGAAGGCCAAAGTCGGGGTCTGAAAGCCTGTTGGGGGACAGCCTGGGTGGAGAAGACACAACCAGCACAAAGATCATGTTAGAGGACAACAGAAAGCTTTCAAGTTATTCCAATACTGTTTGTAATAAGACAGATAAACCAAAGTATCTTTCCAGCACAACCACACTTTGAGCTTCCTCTCACCTCCAAAGTAGAAGCTACCTCTGGCTTCCAGTTGCTCCCACTGTTCAATGGTGGATGCCGCCTCGTTGTCCAGAGTCAGAGTGATCTGTAGACTCCTGGTATCCAGACTCACAGAGTGCCACAGTCCATCATTGACTCTGTGACCTAGGGACAGAGGGAAGCAGTTTACATCAATAAGGATGAAAATATTTTAAAATTTGTCTGTAGTACAAAACAAAAATCTAATCTGCGATTTTCTGATGTTAAACTCAGAAAAAAACTTAATTCTTGTACTTGGCCCCAAAAACCTTAGAGACTCACTGTCTAAAGATATAGTTACTCTAGATGGCATTACCTTGGCCTCTAGCACCACTGTCAGGAATCTTGTAGTTATCTTTGATCAGGACATGTCATTTAATTCCCACATAAAGCAGACCTCAAGGACTGCCTTCTTTCATTTACGTAATATTACAAAAAATTGACACAAATGTAATGTTAGTCTGATGTTTCTCTCTTCAGGTTGGACTTAGTTACAAAATCATGTGTAAAATGTCTGAATGTTTGATGGAGCCACCTTTTGGTAATGTTTTATAATTGTGTATTATTCCAAATAGTAAATGCCTGACACATAATTTATAACAAGGAATAAGCTAGCACTATACAAAATATGTACAATCCATCAGTGTTGCTTTATATGCATGTTTAATGATTATGATTTAAAGATTTTAATCAGTTCTACTTTTCCTTTACATCAAGTGATTTTGGTTATGTTATGTTAAAACATGTGAACTGTGTATTAAGTCATGGTGGGTTCTGTGAACGGTGAATCATGATCTCGAAACTTTAAAACACAAAGGAGTAAGTTGATTAAAGTTACGGGTATCAAAATATCACCAGAGGAAGTGACGTGCGCGGTCAGCTCCTCTCATCCAGTTCCGCCTCCAGAATAAAAGGTATAAGGGATAGACTCCGGTCACTCTCTCTCTTCTGATCTCTTCTGTCCTTCTTAGATTTTCTTCCTTCTAATAGTGTTGGATCCACTCGTTATTTACTCTCGTTCTTAATTTTAATTTCTGTACTTTACTTTGTGTTGAATTTTTCCTCAATTAATAACTTGTGGTGCTAAAGTACTTTTCTAAGTACTTTTATTTTGAAAGCTCAAGACACGAACGAATTTCTTCTTTTATATTTTTGTAGTCTTATATATATATATATCGTCAAGTATTGTCTCCTTATTCACAGAAAGTGAATTTAATCTAATTCTTGGATTTATTGACTACGGAAGATTCGCCAGGCCAGCGTTTCATCCTCCAGTTATTTTCAAACAAGAAACTGAATTAGTTTACAATCAAAGCTGAAGACCAACCACTCTAAGACATTTATCATCAGCCAGAAGGACGTCGCAGTTGTTGACTGCTCAAGAAGACGTACAAACGTTTCCAGCCGAACAAAGACATTATTATCCAGCGACTCTGCCTCCAACACACTCAAGCGTAAAAAACTACGCGCTGGGCCTTTGAATTGAAGGGCCACTGGGACCAGGAACGAGACGCAACTTCCTTCGGCCTGTTGGATCAGTGATGCAAAGCCACAGTTGAGCTAGGAGGAAAGCCAAGGGCCTGGAATCCTTCCAAGTTCCATCTACAAACAAAGTAGGCTGACTCTCTGGTACACGGCCGGATTCACACACGAGAAAGAGTTGGTGTCTGTCTGTAAGCTCTGATTCCCAAGTGAGTTTTCGATTAGGGCCTCGTAGTTCTAAAATTTACTCTCGTAATATTTTAAACTTACTGCCGTATCGCAAAATCCAACATCGCTCCTGAATCACTTAATAGTAATAATTCATATATTGTCCACATATTCTGTTACTTGTTGTCATTTGTTTGCATTATCATTTCATTCTATTTACTCTACATTAGTTTAGTTAATAAACATATATAACCATATGTCCTTGTCGGTGCAGGTTTGATTTGATGCGGGGAAATCGATGAATCGGGTAAAAGAAATCACTACTTCAGAATATGAGATTGAATATAGATTTTGAAATTGAATAAATTGATTTGAAATTGATTTGAATAGATCTGTGGAATAATTTCCTCCGGATTATTCCAGTAGCTAAACAATGGAGGTGGTGCCCCATTTACGAGTGTATTATTAATCTTCAGTGATTAATTACCTTTATTATTAGTGTTAAGTCCAGGCTCTTGGGGAAATGTTTCACTATACCCTGCTTTCTCAGAATCTATTAAAATCCAATGATGTCTGTCCTCCTCCCACAGGACTGCGAGAGCCTGGGCCCATGTGACTTTCAAGATTCCAGCCGTGAGAACAAAAAACATGGCGGACATTTCCCTCATTTTAAGTGAAAAAAATCTATATTTTGAGTTAGTTTCTGCATAAAAATGTGTTTTGATTACATTTCTAACGAGAAATATATATTTTATTTTCATAATATTCACTCAGTGAATGTACATAATCACTTGCTTGCTCGTTGTTGCGAAGATTTTTCAGATCTCGCCAGAATAATGTGAAACTGAAACGTTTTGGTTGCTATGGACGCTGCTATCGCCTAGCATAGCTGTGGCCCCAGATTCCACATAGGACTCCCTTGTGATTTCGCTCCGTCTGACGGATCAAACCCTCACCCACTACATGTCTGAGGTTGATTTGCTGATCAACACATTATTCCGTGGCAGCAGGAGAAACTAATGTTGACAAAGTGATGAGTTACGATCGGATGTTTGTCTACTGTGTTTAATTTTGAAATCTACCGGATCCTCTGTGCATTTAACTTCCAGTGTGGTGCAATCTCATTGATGGGTTTTGACACGTCATGGCGCCACGAAGAAGAAGAAGAAGAAGAAGAAGATGAAGAAGTCCTTTTAGCTTGCTTGTTGGAATCATTGTTAGCTGTTTAAATATTTTCACTTTGTAAGAATATGGACTGGCTGTTATTTGTGGTATTACTCCTCGATCATGATATTTCAATAAATAGCCAGGCAGTGTTTCACTGATGACTGATTTCTTATGACATACACAGTGCTGCCACCACATGTCTGGTCTTAGTAATAACTTATTTCTGGTGTATGATCAAGTTTTTCTCTGCATGGTGGTTAATTAATTGTATTTATATTATTGGAAGTATGCAATATCTATCTATCTATCTATCTATGTGTGAAGGAGAGAGATGATATGTCAAGCTTTTGCAAACACAGCATATGTTCTCTGGTTTGCTACAAAGTGGGAGTCTTTCAGGCTTTTGAATTTTTTTTAATATACTGTATAACAACATACACATAACTTATGGAACAAAACAATGGGATTGAACATTTCCTTAATTTGTGGTGTTCTCCTCCGTCACCCACTGTGGCGGTCAAGTTTTCCCACTGTAATAAAAAGAGATTGTTATTCATTTAGGTCTTTATATCAGCCATGAATTAAATTCAAAACATGACAAGGTTAAGGGCAATGAGGAACAGCAAGCCACCCCTTCATTCAGTAGGTTTATAAACTTACAGTAACCTGATAATAGTAAATTACCTGCCTATGGTAATATTTTGGTTAAGGTTTGAATATGCATTACCTATGGTGTAGCCATTTATTTGAAATCATATACCTCTGCTCTGAAGGTATCGTATTGTAAAAGACCTCTGCAATTTGCTGCACAATAATAGTCTTGGAAATTTGGTCATTAAAGACCTCCCACGTGTGTGTTACTTTAGAATCCCAATGTCAACATCTAATCAAAATTCAATAAAGAAAAAGGAAATCCTTACTCAGAATAAATTGGTGATTATGTCTAACATATGTCTCTCCATTATGACAGTCAGGTTTATCTGCCTTAAGCACCACATAACTGATAAAATACACAAATACTGTGAAACTTGAACTAAAAGCTCAGTGCCAAAAATTGTCCGCCCTCTTACGGGCCTGATGTGATAGCACATTTTGATAAATGAAACTCAGTCTCAGTTAGTTGCTTTGCGTAGTAGATCTCCGTTCCCTTGCACTGCTTAGCGTGTATGTTTAAACTTTAGGCAGCATGCAACATATCATTATTAGGGACCTCGCAGGCGACCGCTGGAGGTCCCTATTGTTTTTGCTCGATTTCTTACCTATTATTATTATTTTTTTTAGGCCACTTCGACTGCGTTTTTGCCCCCCTGAACATATACGAAAACTCAATTTTATTTGGCAAAGTTGTCAGGCCTGGTGAAAAATTTTATATTCTATGTGTCTTTTTCAGGTCGGCCACTAGGTGGCGCTACTATTTAGGAAAGTAATTTCACTTTTTGGTTACTTAATAACTTTTGCATATTTTGTCGCACATTCAAAAAACTTATATCCACGCGTTCAGTGAATGGAGCTGAATCTCTCCATATAGGCCCCGCCCACTTCCGCCTATAATTTTTTTCCGCTAGAGTGCGAAAAGTCCTTAAAGTACGTTTTCGTGGTCCTCCTACACGCTTTGTCCAATTCCCACGGAATTTTTCACCTAGCACCTGGGGACCGCCCTGGCAAAAAAAGTAATTTGAACCTTTTTGAAATTTCAAAAAATAAGCGCGCTATAAAATTAAGACTTCCTGTAGATTTTTCGTCAAAAAAGGAAGAGGACCATTTCTTAACATTGGTATGTTCGATTCACATCAAACTTGGGTCCATAGTTCCTCATGTCCTCCTTAGGCACCGTGCACAATTTCAGACCATTACCACTAGGTGGCGCTCTTTAAAATGAAGGACTTTATATCTCTGCAACGGCACGTGTGATTAAAATGAAACTTGGTAGGATGATTGCCCATGGCTCCCTGAGGCTCATCAAAAAAGGAAAAAAAATCAGGCCACTGGGTGGCGCTCTGGTGGCAGGATAAATCACTGTGCGGAGACCGCAATAGTTATGAATATGAAATTCACAGGGCACGTGTAGAGTAGTGCCTGAAGCTCACATACCAAAAATCGTGTTTGTCGTGTGTGTAGCGCCCCCTACAGGATAAAAAAACAGCAGCCCCGGCGCCACGTTTCACCGATATGTACAAAAAAGCCTCTTGGACCCATACCCGACACCACACAGGAAGTCGGCCATTTTGATTTAAAGTTTCGATTTCGGCGAACTTTTCGCGTTGTATTTGAACGAACTCCTCCTAGGGAATTTATCGGATATGCTTCAAAATTTGTGAGTACACTCAAAAAATGGTCCTGATTAAAAGTTGTGCTATTTGGGCATGTACGTTGAAGGGCGTGTCCGTGGCGTGGCATCAAAGTCAGCCATTTAGATTTTTTTGGTCATTTTCTGTGATTTTTCGCGTTGTATTTGAACGAACTCCTCCTAGGGAATTTATCGGATCTACTTCAAATTTAATCAGCACAATCTAAAGACATTCATGATTAAAAGTTGTGCTAATTACGACATTCCGTCAACAGCGTGTCCGTGGCTTGGCATCAAAGTCAGCCATTTTGCATTCCGTGCTCATTTTCTGTGATTTTTCGCCTTGTATTTGAACGAACTCCTCCTAGGGAATTTATCGGATCAACTTCCAATTTAATCAGCGCAATCTAAAGACATTCATGATTAAAAGTTGTGCTATTTACGACATTCCGTCAAACGGCGTACCCGTGGCATTGCGTTGAATTTCGACCATTCACCATAAACAGATAGTACTCAACTTCAGTGTACAGTCCCACCCTGAACACGTCCTCATAACTTAAGCGTTCATGATCCAATCTCAATGAAACTTCACGTGTTTGATAACAGTCCCACCCTGAACACGTCTACATGACAATATTCTGACATAGTGATAGCGCCACCTACTGGCAATAAGAAGTAAGCGCTGTGTGGCGATTTTGAGCTGCGTTACGATTTTCAGCTGCGTTACGTGAAAGGACCGCGCCGGTGACGACTTGTCGAATTCAGTGGATCCGCCATGAAATAGCACTCATAACTTCAGTGTGCATTGTGCAATCTCCAGTAAACTTCATATATTCTGTAACAGTCTCGCCCGGAACACGTCCTCGTAACTTCAGCGTTCATGATCCAATCTCAATGAAACTTCACGTGTGTTACAACAGTCCCGCCCTGAACTTGTCTACATGACAATATTAAGATATAGCAATAGCGCCACCTTCAAGCAACAGCTGGTAAGCGCTGCGTGGCGATTTTGAGTTGATGTACGTGACATTTTCGTGTTGTGGTCCGCACGTGTTACGACGGCACGCGACGCGGCCGCAGCACGCCCGAGTTGCGTGGAGTGCGAGGTCCCGCTCAACGCTGCTTGCAGCTTTAATTTAGTTTTGATTCTAAACAATTAATCCATCCAGTTAATCTCATGGTACCTACATGCACTAAATTATAATTCATTTAGATCTATTCATTTAGATAAATTAAAGGCAAGCCACATATAGATGGCTATCCCAAATACAACCCGGTCAGTTAAGTGGCTGAAGCAATTATGGATGTTAAATGGACTTGCACTTATATAGCGCTTTTATAGTCTCTGGGATCACTCAAAGCACTTTTACAATGTTCATCACTACCACCCTTTTACACACACATTCATACAGCACTGTTTGCAGACAGCTTTGGAGATTGGATTCCCACGCATTCACACACCCAATGACACACTGGGGGGAAAGTGTGGGTTCAGTGTCTTGCCCAAGGACACTTCTACACACTGAGCCACAGCTGCCCACAAATACAAGCCAAGGCTTTTACTTGAAGTTTTGAAGTACTAAGAATTAGGCTATACCAATCAAAACTATGATAAATTGTACATACTAGAGTGAACAGGGCTCCCATTCCACCAACTTCATTTGGATCCCCTGAAAAAATATCAAAGTTGGGGGGTTAAGGGGTTTCCAGTTGGGGTGCTTCAATTCCACTGAGTACATCTAAGACTTTTAATTAGTGTAAAGCTAACCTTCAGCATTTTGCAGCGGTCCCATGGTTACATTCTGAAAGAGCAAAAAAAGTACTTGAGTTTGAGCTCATACATCTACATCATCAGTGTATTAAAAAATTATTTTGACAGACAACACATGATATATTTATGACTTAAGTATATCTGGCTAAGGCAAAAGAATCACTGTATTTGAAGTCTGATTTGAAATGGTGAAATGTAAATCTAGGAAAGCTTAATAACCTTTGGGTGATTTTTTCCCCCTCAGTTTCTTCCTTGTAGACATGTCTGATGCTGCAGAATTCTTCTGCTACATGTCTGATGCTGCAGTATTCTTCTGCTTCTTTTTATTGTTTGCAGACATATCTGTTGAAATTAAGGAAATGTATCCGTGAAGAGCTGTTATTACAATGAATACTGGTCTAAATACCTCTATTCCAATGACAAATATATAATGCGCTACTGTCTGTCTGTCTGTCTGTCTGTCTCTCTCTTACCCCAACTGGTCGAGGCAGAAGACCACCCACCTTGAGCCGAAGGGTCTGTCCTAGGTTTCTGCCTTTTAACAGGCAGTTTTTCCTTGCCCTTGTCGCCAAGTGCTTGCTCATGGTGGTACTGTTGGGTCTCTGTAAATGCTATAACGAGTTTGGTCTAGACCTGCTCTATTTGAAAAGTGTCCTGAGATAACTTCTGTTATGAATTGGCGCTATACAAATAAAATTGAATTGAAAATTGAATTGAATGTCACATTACAATTGGAAAGATATAGATTGTAATCTTTTGCAGGGCACTCATTGAAATACATGGAAATTGTTTAACCATATGCTGTATGGTCACTTCTTCACTCTACCAAGGGTTATAGACTACAAGATGTACAAACAGGTGACCAATTGAAGGAAAAGCCTGGAAGATGAGGGGAAAAACAATTAATGTAGTTCGTCCCACACAGATTACCATTATCCTATAACCTCAATATTGATGGGAGTTGTGTCTCCCAGACCGATAATGCTTCAATTCACAGGGCACAGGCTCTAACAGAATGATTTACTAAGTATGAAGATTCTGTCAATCTGATTCAATGGGTTTTACAAATCCAATGAAGCTGGGACAACTGTAAAACGAAAATAAAAACATAATACAACGATTTGCAAATAATTTTCAACCTATATTAAATTGAATACTCTACAAAGACAAGACATTTAATCTTCAAACTGAAAAACTTGTTATTTAGCTAATATTAACTAATTTTTAATTTGAGGCCTGCGAGATGCTCCTAAAAACCTGGGACAGGATCAAGACTGGGAATGTTTGGAACATTCCACAGGTGAACAGGTTCATTGGAAACACGTGAGTGTCATGATTGGGCATAAAAGGGGCATCCCCGGAATTCATTCACAAGCAAGTCATCCTTGGTTGTGAATGACTGAGCTTCTGGGGATGCTATGTGACAGTGGGAATCACTACTGTAAACGATATAACCACGTGGGCTCAGGAACACCTTGGAAAACAATTGTCAGTTAACACAGTTTGTTGCTACTACAAGTGCTGTCCACATTTAAAATAGTTTTTGGAAATCATGGACATCGTGCTCCTCGCGGCTATGTTCAAAAGCCATGGGGGTGTGGGTGCCCGGGTAGCTCAGTGGGTAGAGCTGGCGACTCATGTCCCGAGGCTGAGTCCTTGCTGCAACAGCCCAGGGTTCAAATCCGACCTGCAGCCCCTTGCTGCGTGTCATCCCCTCTCTCTGCCCCCCTTTCCTGTCTGTCTTCAGCTCAAAGCCCAAAAAGAATATACTTTACAAATTTTTTTTTTAAAAAGCCATGGGGGTGTGTTAGTGTCCATGGCATATCCATGCCCCATGACATTCAAAATGAGTGAATCTTTGCAACAATACAAACAATAAAGCTTTTCAGTTTGAACATTAAATATCTTGTCTTCGTTGTATATTCGTTGAATATAGGAATTTCACTGGAATAGGGGTTTGTATTATCATCAGGGGCCTAATTTATAAATGTATAAACACATATAAACAAACTGAGAAATAAGAAACTGATTATGATGACAGAAATCTTGCAATAAGGGATGCACACATTTCTTGGGTATGTTGCCTGTTCTCAGTACAGCTTTGAGAATTCACTGGTTGCTCTGAAATTAAAGTTGACACTGTTCGTTGATCATGTACAACAACTGAAGGAGTAACTGGTTCATTATCAGCTGGATCTAGACTTTCAGCATTATGCTTGCAGTGAAGATGTTTTCTGAAGCCTGAGAAAGTGCAAAATCTGTGACGGCATCCATTCTGGTCACACACCAATTGAAACTGCTTACCAGGAAAAAAGGCATGGGAAAGTTTGAGATGGCGGACCAACTGCTGAATGCTGAGAAAAGGGGATTTGCACACAAAGCATCTAAACATCACAAGTTCCGATGAGGAGCTTTGCCCTGAGGTCCTTGACTGGGAGTTTCATGAGAGAGCCCGATGTTAATGTTGTAGATGGTGGTCTGCACAAATGTCAACATGCTGTTTAAGGCCTGGTCATAGGAGACACCAAACACATAATGTGCCTTGAAAAGTTCATCAAAGGCTGAGAGGGAAGACCTGGCCTTGCAGGGAAGGAGCACATTATCCATCACAATATAGTATTCATGGATGCTGTTTCTTGTCGTCCCAACTGCCAGGATGTAGGGCTGCCTCCGCTGGTCCGAGTGTTCCTGAAGGCTGCGACATGACTGTAAAATGACAAAAAGTATTACTACACATAACATTTTTATTGATTTTATTTTCACAAGGCCTCGACATGGAGAAGACACTGAAAAGAAACTGGTGCATTGCAAAAATAATTACCTCCACACCATTCATTCTGAAGAATTAAACAAGGAACTTCAACTGAACTCTATCCTATAAGAAGTTGTCGCAAACTGTTGTGTTTACATATCATCACTTGCAATTTATTCTGGTATTTGTGGGACATCACTTGTCTAAGTGCTGGAGTTTTGGAAGAGATTTAGATTCAGATATTTCCTAACTGAGGATTGTTCTATCCAGTATGCATGTTGAACAGTCATGCTACCGCATCGCTACCTGTGAGAAAATTCCCTTGTATCAAGTGAAAGGTACAATAATTAGCCAAAACATGTCTGTTTTGTTGGGTTACACTACACCATATTGGATGGTTTATAAAAAAATAAAAAAATCAGGATACACTTACCTTATGTAACTTCACTACACGATCCACAGCTTCCTGGATACTGATTTTGACAGCTCCCTTCTTACCACTTGGAGGTGGTGGCAGGAGGTAGACCAGCAGGAGAAGTGAGGCCATGTCACTATCCCAACCTGAAAAGGGAGAGCACATGCTTTGAGCATGAAATACACCTGATGAAAGCCCATGACACTACATTAAAGGTTCAAAAAGTTCTTGTCAATAAATAGTCAGCATCTAAAAAGGTGGCCAAATACAAACAGGTTATTATTTTATATCACTTACCTGGCACTTCATCATCCTCATCAGGGTTCTCCTCTGCAGACTGAATGAGGTAGTCAAGAAGGGGTGTCTTGCTGAGGTTTTTGGCTTGCTCTATTACTTTTGCCTTCAGGAGTGTTCCCCATTTCTCAAGGAGTTTTGAAGAAGTCTCAGCTCCAAACAACAGCTCAAAGTCCTGCAAGACCTAAAGGGGAGAAATCATGTGTAGGTTTATTTGATGGTGGTAGTGTTCACAGTTCACCTCGCGACCCTATTTGCATTCTAGTCAGCAATCTCGCTCCCCGGTGTCGGAAAACTAGTGCCCACCAAACTGCAGAGCCACAGTTTGGGTGGGGCTGCTATTGGCTCACAAGCTGTTTCACGCAAATGTGGATGCCTCTGGATTGATTTTGTCGTGTCCCCATTTGGATGTGGACATGGGTAGTGTGAAGGTTCCTTGTCTGGTAGACACCGGCTCCATGCTGTCTACAGTGCCATCATGCTAGCGATGTCGCTTCCCAGGGTGTTCCAGGGAAAGTGAAGGTCAGTGGTAAGAGGGGTTGGCAGATTCCTAGTGGTGTAATGAAAATCGTGGCTGCCACATGTTCTGAGCAGTACTCCGGGTCTGCGGTGCTGTTCGAGCCTTCAGAGGTTGGTTTGCCTGCTGGATTGCTTGCTTCCCCTTCTTTGGTTCGTGTCATCAGGGGCACCGCCTACATACCTGTCATTAATGTTGGCTGTAATGATGTGGCTTTGTACCCCCACACTGTTGTCGGCACACTGGATTTTGTGAATGTGGTCAGCCTTCCTTCAGGGGTCACTGAAGTGCCATCAGGTGTGGCCACTGTGTGCAGCAGGTGGCGAGTGTGGATTTGTCACCGTTTTCTGTGGAGGAACAGGGTGCAGTGAAGTCCCTGCATAAACATTACTCCTCAGTCTTTTCCATCAAAGACACTGATCTGGGCTGTACTAATCTCATCTCCCATGATATCCCTTTGGTAGATGATACTCCAGTGAAGCAGCGCTATAGGCGCATCCCAGCCTCAGAATATGAGGTTGTGAAGGAGCACATCAACCAGCTACTTTCATCCCAAGTAATTTGTGAGAGTAGCAGCCCCTATGTGTCCCCTATCGTGTTGGTACGGAAGAAAGATGGCAGCATGCGCATGTGTGTTGACTATAGGCAGCTCAATAGGAAGACGCGGAGAGATGCCTTTCCTCTGCCACGTATAGAGGAGTCTCTGGATGCATTGTCTTGTGCTTGCTGGTTCTCAACCCTGGACTTGACCAGTGGTTATAACCAGGTGCCAGTCACTGAGGCTGACCGGCCAAAGACTGCGTTTTGTACCCTTTTTGGTTTGTTTGAGTGGAACAGAATGCCTTTTGGGCTCTGTAACGTGCCCAGCACCTTCCAGAGGTTAATGCAACGCATCTTCGGTGACCAGCAGTGTCAGTTCTTGCTGTTATATCTTGATGATATTGTTGTGTTTTCCTCTACTGTGGAGTAGAGGAAAATGGAGAGTGGTGTTGGAGCGACCTCAGCGTGAGGGCCTCAAAGCCAAGCTCAGCAAGTGCTCATTCTTTTGCAAAGAAGTGAACTATTTGGGTCACGTGATCTCGGCCAACGGTGTCTCCACGGATCCAGGCAAGATTGAAGTGGTTGCCAATTGGCTGATGCCCACTACTGCCTCAGAGCTTCGTTCTTTTCTTGGTTTTGCCAGTTACTATTGGTGCTTCATGGAAGGATTTGCTAAACTGGCAGCTCCTCTGCATAGGGCTGTGGCTGAATGTGGTGGCACTAAGACCAGCAAGAAGGCTGAGCAGTGGCTTTCTAGGTGTTGGACTGATGAGTGTAACCAGAGCTTTGAAATACTGAAAGCTAAGCTCACCACAGCACCAGTGTTGGCTTATGCAGACTTTTCTCTTCCCTTCATTCTGGAAATTGATGCAAGCCATGGTGGCTTGGGTGCAGTCCTTTCTCAGGCTCAGGCAGGCAAGGTGAGGCCTATAGCCTATGCTAGCAGGGGCCTGCGACCCACCGAGAGGAACATGGTAAACTACAGCTCCATGAAACTTGAGTTTTTGGCCCTTAAGTGGGTACTTGTTGGGTAATAAATGTGTTGTGTAGACTGATAACAACCCCCTCAGTCATTTGTCTTCTGCTAAGCTGGCTGCTACTGAGCAGAGGTGGGCAGCCCAGTTAGCTTCTTTTGACTTTGAGATAAATTATCGATCAGGGAAGAGCAACACCAATGCAGATGCTCTCTCCCATCAGCATCCGTCTGGTCCCCAGGACATCGCTGTGATGCTTCCAGGCACTGCGATGCCCAAGTCTTTGCAGCAAGCTCTGGGGTTGGGAAAGGCAGAGGCCACCCAGGCTGCCATTGCAGCCTTGCCCCAGCACACTCTTTCCGAACTCCGTCTTGCTCAGCAGTCTGACCCTGTGATACAGGAACTGTTGCCTTTTTGGAGGGAGAACCAGCCTCCCAGTCGTGAGGAGCAGGCACGCCTCTCCCAGCCCATGCTGGTTTTGCTCCGGCAGTGGGATCGCCTACTTGAGAGGGACGGTGTCCTGTATCGAAAGGTGTGTCGTCCTGATGGCGCCGAAGCCATGTTTCAGCTGTTGTTGCCAAAAGCATGGATAGATGAGGTTCTGACCCAGGTGCACCAGGAGCATGGTCACCAGGGGGTGGAGCGAACATTGGCGCTCCTTCGGTCCCAATGCTACTGGCCTGGTATGTCTTCTGAGGTGGCTCAATGGTGTCAGAGATGTGAGCGGTGTCAAGTGGCCAAAGATGTTAACCCAGAAGCACATAGCTTTATGGGGCATCTTTTGGCCTCCCGCCCTAATGAAATCCTTGCCATCAATGACACAACTCTAGAGCCAGCCCACAATGGTTTAGAGAATGTTTTGGTGCTTACAGATGTTTTTAGTAAGTACACTGTGGCTATCCCTACTCGGGATCAGCGGGCTGCTACTGTGGCCAGGGTTTTGGTGTCGGAATGGTTTTATAAGTTCAGCGTCCCTGCTCGTTTGCATTCTGACCAGGGCCGTAACTTTGAAAGCACCCTCATTCAGCAGTTATGTGACCTGTATGGGATCGTAAAATCACGCACTACCCCATACCATCCAGAAGGAAATGGTCAGTACGAGCGCTTCAATCGGACGCTCCACAACTTGCTGCGTACTTTGCCAGTGTCCCGGAAAAGGGATTGGCATGTGTGTCTGCCTCATGTGTTGTCTTGTTATAACACAACTCCCCACCAGTCAACCGGAGAGTCACCCTTTTTCTTGATGTTCGGGCAGGAACCCAGACTGCCGATTGATTTCTTGTTGGGTCGAGTTGAGAGTCCTGTGGGTGGCTCTATCCATGAGTGGGTTCAAGAGCACCAAGCCCGTTTGCATGTAGCATTTGAAGGAGCACGAGAGCGCTTGAAACATGCTGCTGATCGGCGGAAGTGAGTTCACAATCAGCATGTCAGAGATCTGCCATTGCAGGAAGGGCAGCTTGTGTATTTGTGTGACTTAAGCGCTAGGGGGCCCCAGAAGACCCGGGATCAGAGTTCTGTGAGGTTTGAGTTTTGTGTTGAGAATGCCTAAAGAAGGCGGCGCAGTGTATACTATTGTGCCAGTGGACAACGAGACCAAGGTCAGACGGGTCCACCGCACTATGCTGAAGGCTGTTGTAAGGGTGGACTCACCTGGTCATTCCTCTTCTCATAACTCTCCCTCCAGGGAGGAACCACCCCCAGCAGAGGAGCCTTCATTTGAGTATAACTTGTTGGTCTCAGACCAACAATCTTATGTGGCCACTTCTGCCATGCCCTCCACCAGATCAGCTGCGTCCCAAGTGCCTGCAGCAGCTTCGGGAGCATTAACATCTCCAGCTCTTCCTTCTGTCACTTGGCCTGATTCCAGTAACATGGGCCCACGCCAGACCACACGTCAAACGGCTGGTCAGCATTCAAATGTGCATCATTTCCCACGGTCCGCTGGAGATGCTCATGCTGCGAATGGGTGTGTCCCTAAACAGGTATGTGTGTCACTATAGTAATCAACTGCAGTATTTACAGTTAAACGTAGTGACGCTAATGGTATGTATTCTATCATTAGGTGTAACGTGTGATCAGCTGATTGGGGTCGCGGCTGCTTTGTCCTATTTCAAACGCTGCTGCTTTGCTTTGCCTAGTCTCCACGCTGCTTGGCTGCGGGGCTGCTCTTGCTCCGCTCTGTTTGGCTTCATCAGTATGGCAATTTACAATGGTGACCCCAAACATGTAAACTCAAACTATATAAAGGAAAATTAGAACCACAAGAGTCAAACCATACAGTTTTATACAAGCATATTTTTAAAACCAAAATTTTGCCCAGGCTGAGGCTGAGACGGGATACATTGGTATTCCCATGACATTTTTTTCTTGCCAATATGGCACAAGGCTGAAGTTCATTGGCTGTGCTTGTCATTTATCAATTATCACCTGCTATTTGATAATCTGTTTTCATAAGCAAAATGTCTACAGTCAAATACTATGAATTCATCTTCAATAAATCATGCACTTACCCATACTCTTCCACCATATCAGCAACAATGATGTTGACAAGATCACGGCATGTCCGGTCCTTCATCTCTTCTCTCATTGCATATTCTTCATTGCAAGTATCTTCTCCCCTGCAGGCTTTTGTTCCAGAACTCTCTTGACAAGCTTGACAACAGGAAAAAGAAAAAATTTGATCAGCATACAAAAAATTGTTATGCCAAAACATCCAAAATTTACAACATAAAGAGAAATGTTCTACAGAAAAACACCTGCTCTTTGGCCTGTGAAGAACTGTCATCAATATGCTGACTTTGTGGGGACTTCAGAATGGCGTCATGGGTGCACTGTCTTTTTGGAGACATCAGAAAGGAATCATCAATGTGCTGTCTTTTGGGGACATCAGAGAAGTATCACGTTCGGATGAGCGTGACGATAGTGACAAGGTGTCTGTGCATGAGGATGGGACAGGAGAGTCTGAAAAGAGGGAACACAATATTTTTAAAAACATTTTCAAGAGACCTCTTCATCGACCTCTGTTCTAGTGTCTTCCAGCACATATATGTCTGTCTCAGTGGGTATGCTGAACTTCACTTTAGCTTTGAATACAAAAAAAAGTTAAATGAAGCCTGGAATGTATTTCACTGAGGTAAATAATGAGCTTTCAAGCTCTTTTATTATTGTAGTGTACCTGAAGATGAAAACATTACATAATCCATGGAGAAGCCCATCTCAATTCCCTATACAATGGCCGCTCTGTGGTAGCTATCCAGAGTAGTTAAAGGCCATTTCCAGTCATAATCAATGCTTGTCTCTGAAATCCCGTTACCTACGACCAGTTCATCTCATACCATCCATACACCCAACTGCAGCGTGTGGACGTTTATATTCAGTTTTGTTCAAGAAGCGATCATTTTGTCAATGTTAACGTATGGGCACTCTGTTCACTTTTTTTTTTTTTTTTTTTATCGTTTTAAAAAGATAATTTTAACCACCCTCACCCGGAAATGAATAATGCTGACACCGTCGTAAGTTTGAATTTGGTTAAAATTATCTTTTTAAAACCATTTTTTCTTTTCAAAAATGAATGGACAAATGATGAAACTTGCAACCACAATACAATTTTTAAATATGTCCGGTGTCCATACGTTAATATTGACAAAATGATGGATTCTTGAACAAAATTGAATATAAACATCCACACGCTGCATTTGGGTGTATGGATGGTATGAGATGAACTGATCATAGCCACGTGCCTCGTTAGCATTAGCTAAAAAGGTTTAGCGTTAGCTAAATTGAAGACACGTGCCTTGTTAGCGTTAGCTATTAAGTTTGACATTAGCTAAAAACGTTAGCATTTTTAAGTTGGTTATGAGAACTAAAACACGAAGAAATGCTGAATATTCTGCATTCAGGGTTTCTGCAGTTTTGAACAAGTTAAATTCAAGACATTAATGAAATTATTATTTATTATTATTATGAATTAAATTTCAGACATACTAATGCATTTCTCCAAAAAAATATATAAATTAAAAAAAAATGTAAAAGGCAACAGAGGAAGCGGCAAATGAATCATCATGAATCATGAATAAAATCCTGCAGAAATCCTGTGCATTATTCACTTGGTACTTTCTTACCTACATTCCCGTGAAGCTGATGTAAGCACAAAAATGTCTTCGCTCACTCGGAGCAATTCGTTGGCGATATGGCTTCACTCCTCTCTAGTCAACCATCACCGTCTCTGCCAAAACAGTTTGCCGTAGTGTGGAAGAGGACAAATGGTAACATGTGTCTGGATTCAACCAATGAGAAGGCGCAGCGACCTTATGACGAATCGAAACCTAAACCTACATGCAGCCGGGAAAGTTTCAATCAACAGTTGGACTCTCAGGGAGTCCATCATCCTAAAATAAACACTTGAATAACTCTACACCAGCATTATACTTAGAGACAACACCAAAGAGCGTTTCTGGTACCCCCCGAAAAGTGTACTTAGTGCCTATTTGACACCTAAGTGTATAAAATTCTACTCTGGTCATCAAAACTCTGGGATTTTAACACTTTGGCATTTACTGTGCAGAAAAGTTTTGCAGCGTACGAAATTTGCCCTTGTTTTTTCATCTGTTAAATGTTCATCTGCAATTGTCAGTCATTGGAATTGTTTGTTAACTACCAGTTTCCTCCTGCTTCCAGTCTTTGCAGTAAGTTAGGATACACATGGCATGGGTCTACCTCTGTATAGGACGCAAAGATAAAATTGATGTCAACCTCCTGACAACTAACTCTGGGAGGAAGAGAACAGGGATTTCATGAAATATCAGTTTGTCCTTTCACATTTTGCAGCTGCACGACATAACTCTAATATGCTTGAGGCTCCACATTACAGCAACAGGTAGCCTTATCATTTAAGCTGTAAGCCCAGAAACCTGGTAAGTAAATTGCCCCAGCTGGTCCGTCACACCTCTCACCAAGGGAAACCAGAGGGACAAAAAAAAATCAATCAGTTTTCAGTGTTGCTGCCATTTATGAAACTCAATTCACTTAAATTCAGTTTTATTTGTATAGCACCAATTTATAACAGAAGTTATCTCAGGACACTTTTCAAATAGAGCAGGTGTAGACCGAACTCCTTATAGCTGCCCAAACTCCTTAAAGCAAGTTCAAACTAGATCTCATTGTATAGTTTTGATCCATCGCTTGCTGTGCAGACAAGATTTCCAGTTATTTCCTTTATCAGATGGACAACATATTACACAGATGTGAATTAATAATTTACCCCCTCTGAGCTTTGTGCTCTGCATTAAAATCATAAAAGTCGGTTCACACAAAGAAGAGTATCCTAAGATTATCACCTAATGTGATTTAAATGTAATGAGCACATGAATTTGTACCCAAAATTACCCTCAGTAATTCTGCCTCAATAATTATCTACCTAGAAGAGGAGGAGAAGACAAGGACTCATAGCAGATACATAAGACTAAAAGCTGGTATTGCAGGCTTCTGGATACTGTGAATACATGTCTCACATATTTCAAATATTGCAGAATACAATTGGTATTTTGATTTGTATTTGTTTGGTTGAGCGTGTTTTCTTTTTTATTTTATTGTCATGTATCTGGTCAGCAGTGATAATGATATTTTGCTCTTTATGCAAAGAAAAAGAACGTTTCAGTGAGTCTGTGACAGGTTGGTGAGTTTGAGTGACTGACAGTGTGTTTGAGGTAGGATCATAATATTTTTAAATGTTTGTTGCTTGAGTGTTCCTTAAATTAATATTTAAAATTTAATATTAAAAAATATATAAAAAATATCAGTCACGCATAATTCTTAAAACAAGTACTATGAATTCAATAAGTGTCATTCACCTTCATCTGACCGCTGTCGTACCAGTGATTTCAAGCTGAGCTAATGACTCAGATCGTTCACCAAATAAAACGTGGATAAGTCAAGTGGAGAAAGCAAGAAAAAAGCTCCTGCTGTTGCCTCAGTTTCTTGTCATGTCATTATCAAGCACAGACTTTATTGTCAAAAAGACAATTTCTGACAGCAAATTTCTCATAATAATCCACACAAGCAAGAAAACAAACCATATGGAAGAACTGCTGGAGCTTTTGATCATCACATGATATGAAGTGCTCAGACAATCTATACCTATGATGAAGATCATACGAAACAGTCGAAAGCCCCAAAAAGCAACTAAATGGTCTCTGGGGGAATTTCTTAAAATTTGGCACAAATGTTCACTTGGACTCAAGGATGAAATTATTATATTTTGGAGGTCAAAGGTCAAAGTCATTATGACATAAAAAAAAGTTTTTGGCCATAACTTAAAAACTCATGACCATATTTCACAATGAATTGATGACACTTTACCATGACAAACACGTTTTTGGTCATAACTTAAGAATTGATGCAGTAATTATTACACATGTTTATTAAGAGATTTTTAACCCATAGGTCAAAGGTCAACTTCACCGTGACATCATAATGTCCTGGAAAACACGTGTGGCTGTTATTCAACACCATAACTCAGGAACAAAAGTGGAATTTGTAATCATATTTCACAACTGATCAGACACTAGATTGGTGACAAGGTCACTGTGACTTTAAGGAGCATTTCACCCGTGGAAACATTAATATTTATTGAAAGTGGGTTATATATGTAGTCAAAATGTAACATACATTTTGAATTTAGTGCCTATTTGAGAGAGAAAAGACAGAAAGTTACTTTAGGACGCATTTGTATTAAAGACAACTCCCACAATGCACAGCTCCGCAAGCCGCTCCCACTAACACTACCAAGGACTACAACAACGTGAATGTTAACCATTTATTTACAGAAATATATCAACAACAACAAAAATAAATATGTTAACAATGACAGTTATAGTTCCTCCTGAGCGTCCTCAACTTCTTGGTGCCCGCAGTACTGGCCATCTGGAGCTGGATATTTCTGTCGGATAGCCTGCACCACATAAGCGGGTAAAACGACACGATGGCCTCGACCCAATCTCTTGCCTTGCAGGACCCATTCCAGAAAGGCTGTTAGGCGATATTGTCTACAAGACATTGAGCACACAGTTAGCGATGCATGGTCTTTGTGTTTAGCGTGCCACAGTAGTTAGCAATGCAACTGCAATCTGTTTGTGCAGTAAAGAAGGTAGTTCAGTTGGCTGACGTTACGTATTAACCGGGAATAACTTTGTGATAATAAGTTGTGTACATACATGCCACGTTGCTATAAGACAGAAAATAGAAACACTCACTTTACAGTCAGACGTCCATGTGTCCGTAGGCGCACAGCGAGAGCACAGGCACCAGCAGTCCGCCCCAGCTCGAGCCAGTCCGGGCTCCTCGTCCGCGACAGGCAGGTCCTCTGCCTCGGCTGCAGAAGCCTCAGCTGCTCTTCGCTATATTGCGGCTCATAAAGGTAGCCACGAACATCTGATTCGACCATCATACTTTCGAAATTTCTTCCATATTACATTGATTAACATAGTCGTAACGTCTCGCTCCACAGCGCCTCCGCTTAGCTTCCAAACAAGATGGCGGTTATATTTTTTAGTTTCTGCAAGTGAAGTCCCACCCACTGATCTGTAATAGGTCTGTAGCGTGAGTGAAACAAAAATGAGGAAGTAGTGTTTGTAGTCTCACCCCCTCTACAGAGATATGAGACTTCCTGCTTCCAATGACGCAAAATGACGATTTTTACATCATTGGAAGCAGGAAGTGCAACACTGAAATCCTTATTTCTCCCCTCTCAGGGAAAGTGAGGGAATGATGCACGACCATTTAAAAATATGACTGGGGTTCTAATGATACAAAGCTTAATGCAAATGGGTGAAGTGTCCCTTTAAAAATGTATTTTTTGCCATAATTTAAGAATGAATTAGCAGATTCCAGATTTCACACACATGTTGACTGTGATGACAATGACTAAACAATTTAATCTCATTCATTCTGAATTTCACCTGACTGCAAACAGCGTATTGGAGCATGAGTGAGTGACTTTCATGGAGAGGATTCACAATTAAAAGTGCCAGGAGAAAACAAAATCACCACATTTAGTATAGCTGAGCTAATACCTATAGCTAATGTGTACCTGTCAATACATTTATGATAATCCTTCATTAATCAGTTCAAACATGTAGTATATTTACTACAATCTTAGTGATAAATTCTCTTTATACCTTTTATGTTATTCCTTCACCACATATCATGTCTTCATCACATATTTTATATTATATTGACTATGAACAGATGTGGATGTAAACTGCAACTTGACTGGTTGGTGGAGGAATATAACTCTGGGGTGGTAATTCTAGTTTGCATCGGGTGGCCTGGTGCACCGGCACTGGGCTCCTGGTGGCAGTGTGGGACATGGTCTGAAACAAGGTTGATTTCTATTAATATTATTAGTAATAATATACTAATATATATAATAAACGAGCTAACGGCATTAACGCGGAGCCACGCAGAGTACCGGGAGTCTGATGTGTTTCACTGAGACATGGCTGCACAGGGACATATCTGTCCAGAACGTATCTGTCAATGGCCTCCACAGTGTCCGGGCAGACCGGGATTGTACCGAGAGCGTACCGACAGCTCTGTGGCCCGGATGCTGAACTGCTGGGCGTTGGACTCCGTCCATATCATCTACCGATTTGAAAGTGTGACTTTAAATTATATATATTCTTAATATATGTATGTCTATTTCATATGGAATATGTAACAAAAGTAATTTCCCCCTGGGATTATTAAAGTATGTCTGATTCTGATTCTGAATAATCATACAGTATTATGTTATGGGTATTTTGTTTGCAGACACCTCCTTACCGCCTTTCCCTCTTGTATGTTTATAGAAATATAAATATATATGTATACTCATGCATATACATTTAAAGGATATATGGAAAAAAATATTCCCCCCCCAACCATTTTAACAAAAAGGGAATTAAAAAAATTTTTTTTTAAAAAAAAAAATTTTATATAAATTTTGGCCCCTTTTCCCCCTTCAAACCCTCCTCCCTTTTTTTAAAAATTTTTCCAAAAATTTTTTTTTTTTTTTTTTTGATTTTTTCCCCTTTTCCTTTGTAGAGCCAGGCCCTCCCCCTTTTTACCCCAACCCCCCCCCCCCCCCCCCCCCACAAACAACAAACAAACAAAAAAAAAAAAAAAAAAAAAAAAAAAAAAAAAAAAAACCCAACTCCCCCCCCCCCTTTATAAAAAAAATTAAAAAAAAAAAAAAAAAAAAAATTTAGTCCAACGTTCAAATTAATGCAACCAAAGAAACACTGTAACTAGCATATCAAACTGGCCATAGCTGTCTTGCTTTGAGAATTCTACAATGTTTCATTATTCAATTTCATTTCAACACAAAAAGTAAAGGCGTGTGACCTATTTTCCACTTATATGTGGACAGTATTTTTTGTTTATGGTAGACACGCAGATCATATCAAGTGTTATGCTTATCCACTGAAGCTTCATTCAAGTCATAATATCAGCATTTTAGAAAATAGAACTGTAATGCTAACAAAATTCTCAGTCAATGCAATTATGCCAAGTACAGCTTTATGTCAAACACGAAAAATAAAGGTGTGGCCTGTTTACTTTTGTATGAGGTAATTATTTTGTTCATAGAAGACACACAAACACACACAAAAAACATACTAGCAGTGAGCAGATCACATAACATGAGAAAAGTTCACGACCTTCCCCGCCAAGGGAACGCCATCCTGACAAATACAACAAGCTGAGGTGTGTCCAGTGTCCATTACATCCAGGGATTCATCAAACTGTAGTGAAAAATATTCACAGTGTGAATTCTTTGAAGTCTTTTAGTCCTAGTCGATCCACATCCCCTGACATTTCCTCGACCCTCCTCGCCAATGTACTGGGGCCAAGCTGGACACTGCGGAGTGCGGTTTTGATGTCGTCTTTGTTTTTGAAGCCGTTGAAAACCGTCTCTGCAGTGATGGCCATTGCCTCCTTGAATCAATCGCCATCTGTAAAAGGCTTCTTGTGTTTAGCCAAAAGGTGACTTATACGAAATGAAGCTTCAGTCGCAGCCTTATTTTGAGCAGCAGGTTTTATGAAAAGCGACTGCTGGGCCTTCAAACTCGCTTTCAGCTCAGCACCTTTCCTAGCGAGGATTGCGCTCTTGGCGGGGAAACTGAATTTGTCGTGGTTGGTGTTGTGGTGCCGCTCAAAATTTCCTCTTTTAGACAGCGCTAGAGTTTGGTGGCACAGCATACACACACACTTGTCTTTCACCATTGTGAAAAGAAATTCCTCTTCGCATTCTGGATGGAAATTATACGTTTTCAACTTCTTTCTTGGAGCCTCCGCCATGCCAGCTGACAACATTGCAGTCTATCGGCTATCACCTGCTACTGCCATATATTGTAGTTTTGCGACAGTTAATGTGCCAGTATCCTTCTTTGATCTTATTGGTCAATTTAATGCAGCCTGTTACGCTGAAAAAATACAGCGACTGGGTAGAGAGAAATAGAGAGATAGAGAGAAAGAGAGGCGCTTGCAAAACTGAACATTAATCAGCCGTAATGTATCTGTGTAATTATTTTTCTATTATTTTCAGGATTTACAGGGAATTTTTCAAAGATCTACCAGTCGATCGTGAACGACGGGGTTGGCGACCACTGCTGTAGAGCATTTATGAGGTCAGGCACTGATGTTGGCCGAGAAGGCCTGGCTCGCAATGTCCATTCCAGTTCATCCCAAAGGTGCCTGATGGGGTGGAGGTTTACTCCCCTCCATTCCATGCTTGGCATTGGACTTGACGATGTAAGGCTTGCATGCAGCTGCTCAGCCATGGAAACCAATTCCATGAAGCTCCCGCCGCATAGTTTTTGTGTTCACATTAATGCCAGTGGAAGTTTGGAACTCTTCAGCTATGGAATCAGCAGTTCATTGGCGTAATTTTACGTGGTCTTCTGCATCGTGGCTGTGTTGCTGTTGTTCCTTAACGCTTCCACTTTCTAATAGTATCACTTACAGTTGACCGGTAAAATATACAGAAGGGAAGAAATTTCAATAACAGTCTGTTATTGTAAAGGTGGCATCCTATCACAGTACCACGCTTGAAGTCACTGAGCTCTTCAGAACGACCCATTTTGCATTACAAATGTTTGCAGATAGAGACTGCATGGCTAGGTGCTTGACTTTATACACCTGTGGCAAGGGGTCTGATTGGAACACCTGAATTCAAGAACTAACAGGTATGGCCAAATACTTTTGTCCACATAGTGTATATAATCATGTTTGATTCTATATATATATATATATATATAATCAAACATGATTATTTGTGTTATCTGAACATAATGTGGATAGCATTTTGCTACAGAGGAAAATGCTAGCTAACGAGCTAATCTACATTAATCATTAGCTAGCTAGTTATATCTAATAATAGCTAATTAGCTCGCCAGAGTTTACGTTAGCTGGCATATGCCACTTTTGGCTGGTATCACGTGTAGTTATGATATAGATATGTGAATTTATTAATTAAATATGAACAAATTTCAAACCACTGTTCTCACACAAAATTGCAGTTTTCATTTTGTATTTTTTGTCTAATTAATATATATGGTTTAGCCTCCGCTGTCACTAGGACATTCATTGAGCACTCTCTGTCTTCTGTGTGTGTGTGTGTGTATTTTGCTTTTCTCAACAACCATTCGACTGATCGTCTTTACACTTGGTGGGTGAATTTCTGGGGACCCAAGGAAGTGTAGTGTCGAATTTGGTGCTATGTGACAGTTTGTCTCTATTATAAGCTTAGAATAGACAGTTTGCATATACAGTTTGCAGTGCGTGTGTGTGTGTCCTGACCAGCTGAGGCCTCCAATTGCTGTCCGAAGTTGTGGAGAGTAAGGAGTAGCCGGCTGTTGCTGATCAGCAGCTCCAGTCTCTGGTGCTCTGGGCTCAGCTGCGTGGAGAGCAGTAGCCCGTCAGGGTTCCAAGTCCTGAACTGGAAGCGGATGGAGAATCCCCCCATGATGGCAGATGCCACCGGCAGCGACAGGAAGCTGCTGCTGGAGCTCAGAAAGGTGCAGGCCACCAGCTGGGGCTGCGAGCATGAGAAAGTCACCTTGCCCTGGAAGACATCAATGGATCATTTGTGTTCAATTCAATTCAAACTTCTTATAACATTTACAGAGACCCAACAGTACCACCATGAGCAAGCACTTGGCAACAGGGGCAAGGAAAAACTGCCTTTTAAGAGGCAGAAACCTAGGACAGACTCTTCGGCTCAAGGTGGGTGGTCGTCTGCCTCAACCGGTTGGGGTGAAAGAGCGCGAGAGAGTCTAGGCCTATAGCAGCATAACTAAGGGATGGTTCAGGACTCACCTGAGCCAGCCCTAACTATAAGCTTTATCAAAGAGGAACGTCTTAAGACTACTCTTAAATGTGGAGATGGTGTCTGCCTCCCGAACCACAACTGGAAGCTGGTTTATCGGGAGAGGAGCTTGGTAACTGAAGGCTCTGGCTCCTGTTCTACTTTTTGAGAATATAGGAACCACAAGTAGCCCTACATTCAGAGAACGCACTGTTCTAGTGGGGTAATAGGGTGCTATGAGCTCTTTAAGATATTAAGGGGCCTGACCATGAAGAGCTTTATAGGTGAGGAGGAGAATTTTAAATTCTATTCTAAATTTTACAGGGAGCCAGTGCAGAGAAGCTAGTACAGGAGAAATGTGATCTCTTTTTCTAGTTCCTGTCAGTACTCGTGCTGCAGTGTTTTGAATAAATTGGATCGTCTTAATAGGCTTATTGGGGCAGCCTGATAATAAAGAGTTGCAGTAATCCAGCCTAGAAGTAACAAATGCATGGATTAGTTTTTCTGCATCTGTCTGTGATAAGATGAGTCTAATTTTTGTAATATTATGTAAAAAATAACTACAAGATTCCTGACAATGGTGCTAGAGGCCAAGGTAATGCCATCTAGAGTAGCTATATCTTTAGACGGTGAGTCTCTAAGGTTTTTGGGGGCCAAGTACTAGAATTTTGTTTAACATCAGAAAATTACAGCTCATCCAGGATTTTATGTCCTTAAGACATGTTTGTGATTTAGATAATTGATTAATTTCATCGGGCTTGATCGATGGATATAACTGTGTATCATCTGCATAGCAATGAAAGCTAATGGAGTGATTCCTAATAATGTTGCCTAAAGGGAGCATATATAAAGTAAATAGTATTGGTCCAAGTACAGAACCTTGTGGAACTCCATGACTAACTGTAGTATTTAGTGAAGATTCATCGTTAACATGTTCAAACTGCCAACGATCTGATGAGTATGACTTAAACCAGCTTAGTGCGGTTCCTTTAATGCCAATTTGATGCTCAAGTCTATGTAAAAGAATATCATGGTCAATGGTGTCAAATGCAGCACTAAGATCTAATAATACAAGTACAGAGACGAGTCCATTTTCACGCCAATCAAAAGGTCATTGTTAACTTTAAAGGGGACATATTATGCAAAACCAACTTTTTAATCATTTGATTATGTACATTTGGGAATCTGGAGGGCCTATCAGCAGCAAAGTGTGAAAAAAATGACTCAGTCATGTTTTTGTGGGCTGCCTCAGTCAGAATACAGGAGATAAATCACGAAGCTTCAGAAGTGTGTAGTTTGTGACGTGACATGCTCTGCCTGTTGCCACCCACCTCTCTTTACTTCCTGTTGACTATCGGAGCTCCGCCATTGCTACTATAAAAGGCAAGCTAGCGTAGAACAAGCAAGTCCAGCCAGCCCAGCCAGCAGCCTGCAGCCTGCAGCCTAATGTCTGGGCAAAGGCTTCAGCAGACAAACTGTTCAGTCATTGGCTGCACAGCCCAACACAAATTGACATATGCAAATTTATGTAAATGTATGTAAATTATTTTTTCACAGCAATGTCCGACTAGAGTCAGAAAAACCGGAAGGTGTGTGTGAACCTTCGTGTCGGACTGTTTTCACAACCTCGGTCAGTACAACACTGGACTGGCTGAAAGACTGTTCCTGAAAGAGGGATTGTACCAACTGTCTGTGGAGAGACGGCAGAGGAAATAACTGTAAGTATTTTTAATAATTTATGCTGTTTCTCATTGTTCGTGTAATGCTAGCTCATGCTAACCGCTGTTAGCTGCAGGAGCCTCAGTGATGCTAACGTAGTTATTGTTTGTTAAATGTTTGCAAGATGAAGATGAAACTTATAAGGTGAGGTTAATTTATTCACAGAAAACCTCCGAGTGAACAAACTGTAGCGGCTCATCAGCTGTTAGCCCGTTGAGCTAGCGCTAGCTTTGTTATTCCGAAGCCATTTTCCTGCTCCGCTCAGGTGTGTGTCTCTCTGTGTGTGTGTGTGTGTGTGTGTGCTGCTGTATGTAAATGTACCGGAGGTAAAGATAGAGCTATCGTGAGAGAGAAATAGTCAAACTGTGATCAAGTCTACTTAGAAGCTAACAAAATACAGAGAGTAAGTTATGGTGATTATTGTTCATGATGCTTCTTGTGTAACTTTATACTGACGTGCTAACGTTATCTCAGCTAGCGTTAGCTTTGTTGTTTCTCTGCTTTGTTCAGGTGTGTGTGTGTGTGTGTGTGTGTTACTGTGTGTGTGTGTGTGTAAATTAACTTGATCAACGTGCACCAGAGTTAACAATAGAGCTACAGTGAGAGAGAAATAGTCAAACTGCAGGGATTTATTAGTTTAGTAATATTCTGTAACTTTGATTAGCACCCAGCAGCTGGGGTTGCTCACTAGGCTTTATGTGGAGTCAAACCGCGACGAATAAAAGTTTTCTGATCCATTTATTTAGTGTTACTGAAGTACTGCTATTACTGACGATATAAGTGTAGGTCCAGTGTAACATCCTATACTCATATAATCTCCCATTGTATTATAAACACTGAGGCTCACTGCTAAATGTCTGTTATTGCACCGGGAACTTGTTACAACATCAGCTACAGTCAGTAAATGTCCTGTGTGTGTGTATCTGCTGCCATTAGATAGACATTGTGTTGGTAACCTCAGACTGTTTCAACAACACATCACTACAGTTAGCTGCAACAAGGAACCCACCAGAGACACTGCTTTATTATTTTATTTTCTAACATAGGACTACTTTGAGCCACAATGAGCTGTTGTACTTGTATTATATTATACTGTATATTATATTACACTGTATATTATATGCTGCCTTACAAGTAACACTGAATCTTCCATGTCTTACAGGTGACCTGATGAAGCTCAGGTGTTCCTGGACCCATCAGAGGACAGAGACAGCTGCAGCATCAGGACAGTCTGGGTATCCAAAGGAAGACTGATGAAGATGAACACTGACTGCAGAGCTCCATTACCAGCTCACACTTCAGTATACTAGAAACCATAAACCTTGATGGAGAACATGATCTGCACAGTTTACATAAAAGTTATAGCTTTGTTACTTACAACATGTGTAACTGGAATATGAATGAAATATAAATAAAGGGTTTTACTTTTAAGAAGAGTTTTGGTCATTTTTAAATTCAGTAATAAGTGTGGTTTTATATAAATAACATGTTATTTCACAGAGGTTTTATGAAGATTTTGAAAGAGTTGAAAATCTGGTCATCTATCAATATGAAAATGTGAAATTTAAACCTGTATTAATGACTGTAAGCAACACAATACATTACTGTCTCACATTCAAACTTTATTATGTTGGAAGATAAATTACATCACAATATAAAATATAAATGATAGAATATTCAGTATACAGTATTTTTAATGCAGCTTTTACAAATATCTGAAGGTTAACTTTGGTAATAATACTTAGTTAAAATATCAGACTATGAAATATGGATACAGTACCGTTAACAGTTGGTTACTTAGCAGTTTTTCAACCCCATAAACAATTTACTTTATTAGATGAGTGATTCCTTCAGTTATGTTGACATGTTGTACAGGATAAAGTATTCCAGGTTTCTGTTTCCATGGTCTCAGTAAACTAATGTGTATAAAGAATATAACAGATGGGAGGTTACAGTAATCATTATACTATTACTCTGATTACTTTGGTACATTTACTGGCTGTTTCTTCACTAGAAACAACTGCCTGACCAATGTTGTTAATATTATGGAATATATAATATGTTTAACTTCACTGGGCTGTGTAGACTGTAGGTCACTGCTCACTGCTGTACCTGTAAAGACAAGCATAAAACACAGTGTTGGTTCTCATAGTTAAGGTATAAACACTAACATTATGTGATAGATAGAGGTTAAATATATATTTTTTATATATATAGTTATAGTTAGTTTATATATTAGTTATATGTATGTATATGTAGTTAATATAGCAGTATTTACCTGAGGAAAACGTCACAGAAAGCTGTAATCCTGATTGTTGATGTTGTTCATTTCTCTGTGATTTCAGGTCAGACTCCCGCTCTAACATGTCCGCTGGTGAAGTTTTTGCTTTAGAAGCAGTTATTGAATTAATATTGACGGTAGAAATGCAGCTAAACTCAGTAGCAGTGAGGAGCTACCTGCCGGCAACGAAGGGGGCGGGCCGGAGCGTCATCCGCGTGAGCCGCGTCATAATGCCGACCAATCACAGCAGACTGGGCTTTTCGGGAGGGGGGTCTTAAAGAGACAGGCGCTAAAACCGAGCGATTCAGACAGAGGCTGAAAAGAGTGCTCAGCTATAGGCAGTATGAGAAAAATAATGTCTTTTTTGAACATTAAAACATCTAAACCTATTGTAGGAGAGCCACAAAATATAATTATGAACCTGAAAAAGGGGCATAATATGACTCCTTTAACAAGAGCTGTCTCTGTGCTGTTATGAGCTCTAAATCCTGACTGAAAATCCTCAAATAAGCTATTGGTATGTTAAAAGTCACACAACTGTTTGGCGACTACTTTCTCCAGAAGCTTAGAGAGGAAGGGGAGGTTAGAAATCGGTCTATAGTTGGCTAAAACCCCTGGGTCAAGAGTGAGCTTTTTAAGAAGGGGTTTAATTACAGCTACTTTAACGGACTGTGGTTCATATCCTGATAATAAAGAAAGATTAATCATATCTAGTAAAGAAGTACCAATTAAGGGTACGACTTCTTTAAGCAGCCTA